CTCTTCTGCATAGTCAACGTGATCAACAGATCATTGTCCAACGGCACTCCGGTAGTCTTCTCATGTCTGTTCTTCGATATGATAAAATCACTCAAGTCGCTCTCAAGATGATCACTCCGCAATCGAAAGGCAATGATCTCATTCAAGAGATTCGTGGCACGAGCTCTCGTAGGTCGTAGGCAGTGAGGACTGGTTGTACAGTCGACGCCAAATCTCAAAGCCATTCTCTGTGTCTTCATTCCTAACAATCGCTCTCGCAGCTCCGTCAGTGATCTGTGCCAACATGTATGCCAGTTGCTTAGCAAACATTGACAACTGATTGTTCTGCGATCCACTCTGCTGAACATCGTATGCCTCGCACAGTTGTGGGCATTTACCTCAATCTCGTCCATCAACGTTTTGGCCATTGGCCATTGGTTTGTACAGTCCTACATATCTCTTCAGCTGCTACGACCAGTCTTCCCATTCTCCAACTCACCATGATAGGTGGGCGGGGGAAACATTTTGATTTCCCCGCCAATGCCCCTCACTCCGAAGTCCATTCTCTCTCACTCTTCCTCACTCTTCCCTGGTTCCAGAGCCGAAGCTCCGCTACCATGCAAAATTCCACTATACAATCCTACCAGTTGGGATCGCTCTATGGGCGGCTCTGACACCGAAAGCAGGTCTGAGTGCCTTGAGGAGGAGTTGTCCGATGCACAGCTGTGAGCCGTTCTTCCCGCCACTTTCCGCGCAGCGTATGGGGACAGTGCAGAACAACTGCTGCCTTGCAAGAATCTGGCATATCTTTGCGGCAATGATGCCGACTTATCGCAGTTGCTGGATGACTTCATCGCGGACTCCCAGTCCACAGCTGCTTGCGGGATTGCATTATCCTGCGGGACCGTGCTCTCTCTCAGGCCCAGCGCTTGCAACAGCGATGTGTAATGATCCCCGCTGCGCGGTAACTGCTGGAGCTACTCCAGAAAAGTCGCGTGTTGCCCCTCCTGCAATGACAGGGCCAATCTGCGAATGGTTGCGGAAGAAATCCGGCGCCATCCGACGCAATCACATGTGGCCTTCAAGGCGGGCAAGGAAGCTAGCTAACACCACGTTGCGCTGCGACGTCGAGCAACAAGAACTTGTTCGTTGGCGTGGCGAGCTTGTGAAGATCATCCAATCTGCGCAGCTACCAATTTGCGCGCAAGTTTGCCTTACCACAAACCCGGAGGGAGCTGCGCATGCATCGACTATTCGCAGCCAAGTGCAGGAATGGAAGCCGGGCCAGCAACTATGTTATGCCGATTTCAGAGTGCCCATGGCCAAAAGCATGTGGGTTTCATTCTGGATTACTTGCATGAGGCCCGGTTCGAGCCATGCGCTCGCTCGGTACCCTCAGCTATCCTCAAGTCCCTGGCCTTCATGGAACAAGCTGATTGTGTCCCTGATACAGAGCGTTTTTCTGCGCAATCGGTGGTTCGTAACACTGTGAACCAGTTCACCATGGAACTAGAATAGAAAGTGGCGCGCCGCCCAAGCGCGAAGCACCAATGTTCCTGGTGGCAATGATATCCAGCCTTGAGCTCGTCGTTTCAGATCGCGGTTTGCCGATTTACATACATGCGTGGATTCGCTTTTTACAAGCTGCTGAAACTGCGGGCTGCCTGCCGCAGCGGTGACTTATCTGGCTTGAATCCTGCTTCTTTGGTGCTGCCCTGGCTGCCCTTCGATGGCTTGCAAGGCGTGTTGGAGCATACAAAGACATCTCGGCTTGGCAACGCGTGCGATGCTTGCCTATTTTTGTCAGCCGTCGTGCGTTTCTTGTGTCGCCTGACTGGCTACCGGTCGGGTATCCGAATTGGAAAACTGCTTCCATGGCCTTTGTGCGTGACTACTTTCTACCCTTCCCCACCGTGGACCTTGCCGGAGCCCGCCATGTCATGGCCGAGTACCCGCATGTGGTTACATTGACGAAGAGGCTGTGGCAGTCCTTGCGGCTACCCCGCTGGCAAGAGGGAAGATGGGATTTATCTGCTGGCTCGCCGCAAGACTTCAATGACGGTTTTGGGCTTTGTTCTCCGGGGCGCTGGCCTCCGAGCCGTCGAAGCTGTGCTGCTGACACACTTTCTCTTGCGCTGCCCGAACACATGGGTGCACGTTTGTCGGATCTTCTGCGGTGTCGTCTTGATCTGCATACCTTGGTGGCAAAGTTAGCAGATGGGAAAATCACCGAGTGTCCTTTCTTTCAGTGATGAGTTGGTGGCAGAAGGGCGTGAGATAGTTTTCAGCGTGTTGGAAACCGCAGGTGCCGTCCTTCCTGTCGACAAAGGCCAAAAGGCAGCCTTTCTTCCTCGCTGCCTTGGAGGAGATTTATTGAGAAAATCTCTGGTGATCCAAACTATACCGGGACTGCTGTGCTTTCTTCTCATCCAGCGTGTCATTTGCGAAGGGTGTGAGGCTCGGTCATGCGTCTAGGCTTCCACGGGCCCACGGGTTCCTGCTGTGTTCGAGAAGAAAACGAAGTGAAGGCGATACGTGGAAGAAGCAGAAGGCCAGATTTTGCGCGAGAATTACATATCCGCAAAGCGGCAGGCTGAGCTGGTGCAACAGCAGTTCCTTGCTGAAGCTCAACTCGGTGCCATGGCAGAGATGTCATTGGAGTCTGCCAAAGCAAAGTTTGGCAACGATCTAGCAGTTGCCTCGCTGGACGCGATTGAGAGAAAGGACGGCAGTTACCGCGTTGTGCATGATGGTATGCATGGTATAGGAGTGTACGCACGTATCAAGGTCCGGGACCAGATTCGTTCCCCCACTGCTGGTGATGTGCAAGCACCGCTGCACGAGCTTCCGGGTGCCTTCTTCGGCTTGATTGGAGATGTCAAGCGCGCCCACAGGCTTGTGAAAATTGCGATGCAAGATTGGGGTGCGCAGGCCTGCCGCACCGGTGTGCCCAATGCCGACAGAGTGTGGGTCAACAAAGTCCGGACTTTTGGAACCAGCTCGGCAGCCTATCACTGGGCGGGTCGTTCGGTGAATTACATGCTGGGCGAGCGGAGTTGGTGCTACTGGTATGTGTGGATGACATGCTCTAGTTAATCCGTGAGAAGCAGGCCCTGGAGCTGATCCACTTGGTGATCTTCTATTTGGTCGTGCTCGGGCTCCCCTTCGCTTGGAAGAAATTCGGCGGCAGTTCTGTCTTGTCTTGGGTCGGTTTGGAGATCGGTCTGCAGACTGCAAAGATTGGGTTGTCCGAACAGCTTGCGGGAAGGCTTTGCTGCTGGCTGACTGACAGCGTGTCCACTGGCAGGCTAGGATCGCCGATGTTTCTGCAGTGCTTGGGAGGTTGTCCTGCGGTAGGACACTACCGGCCTTTCTTGGATCCAGATGATCCAGTGTATGCGTGGGTAGCCTCCATGGACACCGGCCGCGTGTATCTGCTCCCGCGGGCGATCATCCTGATCTTCAAATTTCTTGCAAACGCTTTGCAAGGTGAGGGGTGCTTGGTGTCCGTCAGCAGACATGTAACGGCCACCAAGACTTTTCCGCACCGATGCACGTGCGGAGGGCGAAGAAATCTGGATAAGAGGTTGGGCCCTTGATTATGCCGACACGAGAAGATGCCGCTGGTTTTGGGAGCAGCTCAGTCACAGCAATGCACCGTGGCTCTATGCGGCTGGCGAGGCCTACCGCCAGATTGCGGCCTTGAAGCTCGTGGCATGCTGGCAGAAGCCGTTGTTCTTGGCAGTCCAAAGGGGGGCGACTGGCACCTTCCGCTGCTCTGCTGCGACGGACAACCAAGGCAACAGCCGAGTCGTGGCACGCTTGCTAACTACGGAGTTTCCATTAAAGGCTTTCTTAATGGAACTTGCCGCTCGGCTTCAATGCAGCCCCTTACCTGGATCTGTACTCACTGTACTCATTGCCGCGACTGCAAAACATTGAAGCTGATGAGCTGACCATCTCGATCTTCCACAGATTCGCGGAAGGCAACCGCTTGCATTTGCAGTTGGCTGAGATCAAGGGCTTCGTGCTGCGCCTTGTGCTGACAGTCCTGTGCGCTAGCTGCCGCTAGCTCCCTCGCCTTGGTGTTGTGATCAACTGCGTAGCTACAATATTTCCTTGTGGTTTACCACCGAAGCTTCAGACGGGAAGGGAGATTCACCGCGAACCCTCGCGTCGGAATTGGGACCGGGCCGAAACTGTTCCTTCGATGTGTTGCTGCGACTGGATCTCTGTGACAGCTTCCAGGCTGAAAATAGCGGCCGCAAGACCCTGGAACAGTTGTATGCCCATCACGTGAAAAGATATGAGGGTTCTGGAGAACCGTGCCACTGGAATGCTGCAACTGCAATTGCGTCACCTTTGAACCGCTCGTGGTGCTAGTCTTTTTGCCACGGCTACTGCTGCCACCCTCAACCTGTCAATCAGAGCTGCGACAATCCCAAATATAGCAAATGCAAGCCCATACCAAAAGCCTTGAGCTCGTGGCAGGTGACTTTCGGCATAGCTTGTACATGCTACATTCGCGTGGACATCAAAAACACACCCTAAATTTTCCGGAATGATTGCTAGCAGACTGCCCTTGCAAACTCCACCGGGCCATCAATGGCGGCATGACGGTGTCGTTGTGTTTGTTCTTGTCCTTCTTCCTGTTGTTGTGGTGATCGTCCTCGTTGTCGCCGTTGTCGTAGTCGTCGTCGGTTTGCTGCTTCCGCTGAGAGAAAATTTCGAGCAAGGTCTGTGCAAAGTGATCAGATTGCATACCTTACGTGGCGCCTCCCTGGGTTGTTTGATTCGGGGCCTTGGAAGTCGAACATATCCGAACAGGCAAACTGCAACGACTTCGCAGTATGTTACACGACTTGCGCGTTGCCGCATGAAGCGCGCAGCACTAGCCTTCTACTGGCACACCCGGAGATTCCCTTAATTCGAAACGTGTCGGGAACACCACCAAACAGCGATTGATTAATGTGTGTGGTTGGGCGCACGCGCATTTCTGTGGTCATGGTCGCAGACTTAAGGACAAGGACTGCGGAGATGCCCGACTTGTTCGCTGTTGGGGGCGACTTCGGCGTCCAGGCAGTCCGGCACAGGCCAAGAAGCTGGCGCCTTTGACTGCGAAGTCTGCCAGGGTGGTGGCGGCTCCTTTCAAGGGGCCCAAGCCCAAGCCTTTCAAGGGGCGCCTGGCGCCTGTCAAGGGCAAGGAGCCGCCCCAGCCCAAATGGCTCCCTTCTCTTCGGGATCCTGTGGGGGATGCGGCGATGGCCCAAGCAGTCCGAGCCTCAGAGGCAGCTTCATTGCGGGGCGGCGTTTCGGAGCCCCTTGCCAGGCCTGGCCCAAGCAGGGCCAGCAGGTCCATCGGACCAGCCGGGAGGGCCCGGGCGCCTGACTTTTTTTCCCTGGGCCTGGGCCTGGACCGCTTGCGACACGACTGCAGGTCCTTTCTAGATGGTATCTCGAGCAAGCTCTTGGCAGCAACCTCAGAAAGCTCAACTCCAGACGCTCGAGCACTCATTTTCTGACTGAGGACCTGAACCTCGGCTCTGGAACTTCCCAGGCTTCTGGTCAGCCTCCCGCTCCGAACAAGCCCATGGGAGGAGGCCGCGCTTTCTCGGAATCCGTTCAAAAGCGTACGGTGCTTGTCTGCACAGGCATGGGTCCCATGGGCAGTGCCATGGGCAATACCATGGGCAGTGGACAGGGCGCAGGCCTGCGGAGCGGACCTGGCGGTAGCCGCGAAAGAGCGAACAACAAGTGCAGGAATGGGCAGCTGCGGTGGCTGCAGTGGAGGCATTTGCTGAATCCATAAATCTGCTGACGAGCCCCGCCAGCTCTCGCACTTCTCATGATGCAGTGCTGCAGAGCGCACGCTGCGTCTGTCCTCTGGCTCTCGCACACCACGGCTACATCAGGGCTGCAATCGACAGACCAACTCAACAGCTTTGCTCAACTCTTGACAGAGACCCTCCAAGGTTCTGTAGTGACGTAGTGAAGGTCCACCCGCCAGGTCACAGCAGTTCTGAGGATAAGGCGGAAAGACTGTTTTGTGAAAGAGTGTTTGACGGTTTGCAGGCTGTGGCTGCGGCGGCTACGGTGGCTGCGGCGGCTGCGGCGGCTGTGGCTGTAGCGGCTGTAGCGGCTGCGGCGGCTGTGGTGGCTGCGGCGGCTGTGGCGGCTGCGGTGGCTGCGGCTGTGGCGGCTGCGGCGGCTGCGGGTGCGGGCCGGACCCTTATTGCACTTGAGAATGGTACTCTCAGAGTGTGCAGTGCTAGAGAAGCCGGCTCAGGGGCTGCGGCTGCTGTGGGGGCTGTGGGGGCTGTGGATGTGGCTGCGGTCTGTGTGGGGCTTGTGGAGCCTGTGGAGGACCCTGTGGTGGCTGCGGCTGTTGTGGGGGTGGGCCGTGTGCTGGTTGCGGTGGCTGCGGTGGCTGCGGCTGTGGCTGTGGCCCGTGTGGGGCCTGTGGAGGGTGTGGCATGCAAATGCAGAGCCCGATGGGACAGTTCGGCCAAATGGGCCAGCCCCAGATGGGCCAGACGGGCCAGGCCCAAATGGGCCAGATGGGCCAGATGGGCATGAAATGAATGTCCTCGCAGCTAGTCTTCTCAATCTTCTAATCGCTATAATAACCACTATAGAGGATCGTAGTCCTTTTCTGAGGAGCAAGCTTGCTGCCGTTTATGCGCTCTGCTGGCCTTTGCCGCTTTGCTGGATGCATGAGATCCAAGCGCACGCGCTTGTAGTGCCAGCCATTTGGCCTGCGTCAACCGGTTCACCCACCGGGAAACCTCAAAACCCGGCAATTCGATGTTATCTTAGATGATAGTTCGTCAGCTAGCTGGAATTGCGACCGCCGGTCCGCCGCCAAAGCGGTCAGATGAAGTCGACATCATCGGGCGGTTGAATCTTGGCGCCTCGAGAGAATATCTGGTCTGTTGCAGTGGAACAGAACTTTGCAAAGTGTAATTTCTGTCGCGCCCACATCTTGAGCTCCAAGCGATTATGGCGCTGCTGTGGGTAGGACATACTCGACGCATCTTGACAGAGTAAAATGCAGACGTGCCTGCTCACCACTCGGGCTCTTCTGTTGCAGGTTTGAATCCAGAGCCTGCATCCACGAGATTGGCTCAAGGGGGGCTTTGCCTTTGTCCTGATGGTGGCAAGGGTAAAGCCGAGAAGCGGCTCCCAGAGAAATTGGCGAAACCGACGAGCCTCCTGGTCAGTAGCGGCTGCCTGTTACGCTGGTTGCCATTGCTTCGCAGAAATGTCCAACCGGGCCATCCCGCAAAACTCGCAGCGTGATGCCCCACGGGTGCGAGACATAGATGAAGGCCTCCGACGACGAGGGGAGAGCGGGCTGAGTGGGCCAAGCGGGACAGAGGAGGACGACGCGGCAGACGCGGGCGCCGTGCCGTCCTCTTCGTCGGGTTACCGGAGCTGCTTGCGGGCTCTGTCCTTTCTTGGCATTCATCGTGCCTGCAACCTCTTGACAGCACAGAGACGCCGAGAAAGAGAGGCAAGGGGTGTCGCTCGCAACAGCGTCTCCGAGCTCTCCGAGGCGGGAGCGGAGGTGAGCGGAGGGCGGAGGGAGAGCCGAGAAGCCGAGGCGACGCTCGAGAGCTGTCCGCCGCCAGTCCTCTACAAACAGCCGGGGCCCCCGCAGAGCCCCCCACGGCGCCGGCTGAGCTCGTTCTGCACTTGCACTCTCTTTGCGCTGGAAGGCGATGGGTGCAGCTGGCCTTCTTAGCCCTCTTAGCCTTGATCAGCGACCTGGTGTGTCCTCCCTACTTACCGGCTTGCCTTGCATCACAGTGGAGATGATAAACCATTAGGTGCTTCAGTGTCGCTGCCACGCCGAGCACTCAGAGGGCACTTGTCATAGACAGTCATAGACATGATGTGGCACCTCTCATTCATACTGTGCGCAGGCCAGCGACTTGGACCAAGGTTTTCGGACAGGACGATTGAGCCAAGATCGCCAAGTATATAGCTCGTCAGAGCCATAAGGTCAAGCGGAGCGAAATGTTTGTTGCAGGATCCGGCCACCCTAATCGACATCTTTCTGTTCACAAACGTCTTTGCGTGCTTCATCGAGCCATTCGTGCGAAGCTCAGTCTTGCTAATCTCAGGCTTCACATGTTCCCATATGGCTGCTTTCTGTAAAGATCATCCGCAACTTCGGGCTGCGCATACCCATTGTGGGTGCGGCTATGTGTGGGTCCTCAGATCTCTGGGTCAGTGCGCACAGCAACGAACTGCTTGGGACGCTTGGCTTTGAGGCTCATGGCAGTGGGATGCTTTCTGCGCTCCGGCATGCCCTTCCAGGGTGAGGAGCTGCCAGGCAGGGGGGGGAAGGGGGGGAAGGGCAGGCTCTCACTGAAGCACGCCATGCCCTGCTTCCGGCACGGCACGGCTACTGCGGCTGCAGCCAGGCTACAACACGGTCGTAGCGGGCACCATGTTGGTGGCCGTCTCGACCTTAGCGCCGCGTCAGGAGCGTGTGGCGCTTCGCAGCCCTATACCCTAGCATACCATAGCTTCCAAGATCTGCTCAAGCCTGCAGGTGGCACAGCCGTTTTTCCAGTGCACACCGCCCCTGCTGTCCGCAACCTGGTTCGCACCAGACGAGACTCGCCCAAAATCTGGGGAAGGTTTCGGGCTCGTGGCCTCGTGGGATTCGACGACAAAAAGCCGAGGAGCGAGCGATGTCTACGGCTGTGGCTATCAACTTCAACCAGGCCATCCTCCTGAGATGGCTCTGCTGTTCCTGGCCTGGGGAGTCGGCCATGAGTCGGCTACTGGTTTTTTGCTGTTAGAACAGGGCCCCTCTTTTTTTCCTCTGATGGGGTTGCCGGGGCTTGAAAGCTGAAGAAGTGTGATACGCTTTCCAATCGCTTAGCTTAGCTGGGCCCCATGGTTCCTGGCACACCAGCTGTCTCTCTCTAACCTTGCGCATACATGGGAATCGTTTCCGGAGGTCGGCATCGCTGCTGCCTTCATCGCCGGCGGGGCCATGGGCGGCTCCGAAGCGGGCCTCAAGGCTCATCCCTGCAGAAGCTCACAGGTTATACCATTATACCTACTTCCCGTTGCACTTGTGCTTCGTGTGCTGCAATGCCTGCTGTAGCTGAGACATATTTCGTGATCATCACCCTGGTTGCCGTGGTGGTCGCTGCAGCGTCCCTGCCACTCGGCTCGGCTGAAATCTGTTGTCTCGTGCATTGTCGCGCATATCAAAGCAATCAGTGGAGCGGGGAGCTGGTTTCGCTTGCTGAACTCTGGAGGTTCTTCTTTCGGGAGCGGCCCCCCACGCCACCGCAACGGGCCCATCAGAGACCGCAGATTGAGACGATCCAGAATCTAGGACATACTTCCAAAGTGCAGAGGCACGTCGTGCAAGGGTTCATGTGCATGAGTTTGTGACTTCCTATAAGGTCGGCATCGGAATTAGAGAAGTTGCTGGCAGAGAAGTCTTCGGGGGCCCTGAAGACAGAGGCCGTACTATCTGCTGACCAACGAAGCTTGTAACGAGACGGTGTCAGGTCGGAGACGACAGCAAGCCGGCCAACAAGCCTGAGGATAGCTTCCCAAAGGAGGCGTGCGGCCACACAGCCCATGACCGGTTCGCCAAGCATTCATCAAGCATGCAGGCCTATCGGCTGCTTACCACCCCGGGCTTCCTGCCGCCTTTGGCTGCTTTCGTCACGTCCATTGCTGTCACCAATGTAGTTGGCGCCTTCATGGACCTGGTGCACCCGGCTGTCTTCCTCACCGCTCGCACTTGGGCAGAGCATCAAGAATGTGGTACAGTGCAAAGATGGCAATGCACTTATTGAAGCTCCCTGCCACAATCGCTTTCTCTCGTCGCGTAAGCACTGGAGGGGTGGGAGGTATCAACGAGCAAGCTGTGGCCAGCGTTCCAAACATGAGGCTTCTTAGATCAAAGAATCTAGCCCAGTTCTCCTGAGGGGGCAGATGGGAACCGTCTCCACTTACTTCTGCAGCAAATCGATGGCCATGGTGCAAGCAGTTCGACCACGCCCGTTCATCATGTGTTGCCCTTTTGCGAACGCTTCGTCCAGCTGTCCTATTGGGACTACTTCCGTTCACAGCTTTTTCGAGCCATCTTTACACCGCACAACAGTGGCTGCCAGGCTACAGTGCACAGTTATCTGCTCTGAGCGTGACGGCAGTCTGCTTGCACCTGCCAATTTTGCATTTTCAGGAGAATGCTATGTTAGTCCTTCGCGCACTAAAACTGCCAAACCTGTGCCACATGTTCTTTCGATGCCATCAACCAGAAAGACCCTCAGTTCGTCTCGTCCGAAAGCTGGCGGACTCCCCCTCAAACATAAAGTAGGGTTCTAGGCATAGCCCCATTTCCTTCAACAATCGAGCAGCATCACGCTAGCGGCGACCACACAGCGAAGATGTTGTACTGTACGGTCACAAAAGTGTTGCAGGTGCACAAGGCAATGTTGATCAGATTGTTGCGTTCTGATATGCTGGAATCTGATGCTCCGACTGAATGCTCACGAGAATCTAGAACGTGCAAATGCCAGAAGCTGCAGCGCGCGGGCTTCAACGACCAAATGGAGGTGGACATGGCCGGTGCGGGCTTTGAGGTCGCTATCGTGCAAGCACCTTAGCTTCGGCTTCGCCTCTTGAGGATCGCTGAGTCAGAACTGCTTCCGCTTCAGCTCTCTGCCAGGATTGGTGGCATCATTCTTGGCGGCCTCGTCGACAGAAACAAAGAGTACAAGGTGGGCGATTCTCAAAGTCTTGCAGAGGAGCCCCGAGGACTGTCACACTGCCCCCAATGTGGCCTGACTGCAGTCCGTGACCCTGTGGTGCATCGCTGCGACGCTTGTGGGAGTGCTCCTGCTCCTCCGGCATCTTATTGCGTGCTGAGCAGAGCATCCTGAACTTCCCACATGCCATGCCATACCAGGCTTGGCATGGAGTCGTTGCCCAGGTGAGCAGCTTTTGCAAAAGCAACGCGGCCACGCGACGCGGCCACGCGAAACGTGACGCTCTGAGGAGCGCCGCCCTGGCGGCCCTTTTGGCCATTGGCTCCTTCGCAGGTCCGGCCTCGCACCGAGACTCGAAGACTAGTCGGAGCCCTTCGGCCCTTCCCGCCTCCGCTTTGCAAGGTCCAACCGATCAATGCGGAGCTTGCAGTGGAGGCCTCCTTTTTCCCCCACCGGCCCCACAACACACGGCGATGTACGACCTCGGCCTTGTTGTCGAGGTCACGTATCCATGCGACGAGAATGCTATCGAAGCCGTGGCAGTCCCCAGCGGTGATGAAGACGGAAATGCTGAAGTGGAATGCAAGCCGCCACTCGTCGATCTCGCAGCACTTCAGGTGCAGCAACTTTGTGGCAACTTGGCCGTGGCCTGAGGTTTCAGGTGCCAAATAACGTTGGCAGAAGACGGCAGAAGTTGTATCAGCTCCAAAGAATGTTTTGTGACAGCGTGAGATCTCTGCCCTGCTGGTGCCCGTTTGCGAGTGGGCTGCAGAGCTGAAGCTTACCCTTCCAGGCGAATCGGTGTCTGCAGTATTTGTGTGTAGTGTTCAAACGTTTAGGCCCTACTGCAGCACTTCAGCTCCTGGAGTTGGCAGGTTCTGATGGCTATCTGAGAGGCGACACACTGCTACTGCTGGCCATCCTGGTCGTGGTGAGCCCTTTGAAGTTCAGAGGGGGGTCCCATGGGAGCTGAAGCACTTCACAGGTGGGCCTCTACTTCTCGACCTTCTCCGCTCCTCTGCGCCGGACAGAAGTGGACCAGGCCTGACACACTGAGACATTTGGTGCCAAATCCATCCAATGTGCTTGTCGAAAGAAAAGGCAAATTGCATCACTGGGGATGAACTCGATGCTGGGGCCTTTGCATGGGTCGCTGATGTTGGAAGACGTACTCAAACTGGGCCGCTCAGGTGTTGCGTCCCCGAGCAGAATCCAAGTGATGGACTGCGCAGACAATTCAGACCACGGAATTACGACATCTCTTCTACATGAAGCAACTAAGTATATAGATACAGATTCAAGATATGGATACACTGACTTAAGATCGCAAGGAGTGTCTCCAGTTTGTTGAGACACCCGCCAGAGCGACGGCAGTACGAGAGCTGAGCTCGGGCCGCTACGCGCAACGGACTCCCAAACTCTCCCTCTCACGTCTTCTTCTCACCTCTGCCTTGGCTGATGCCCCTTAGGGCCCCCGCCAAACTCTCAGCACTGTAAACAAGCAAGGCCAGATCGGGCATCAGCTCGCAGACGCAAAATGTCGTTTTGCTTCTGCCGAGAGGATAACAGACGCATTGAAGCCCAGTGAAGCATAAGCTGCGACATTACATTTCTTAGCATTTTCCTTCCCGAGCTGTCTCGGCAAGTGCAGCGTTGTACTAGCGACACGAAAAAGCTGGTCAAGAGCGCCCTGCCGAGTCACTGATGTTGGGGGCTTTGCTTCTCTGGGAGATGGCGGAAACTCCCAGCAGGTGTGGAGAGTGCTTCAATATTGCATCGCGACAAGACGAGAGAAGAGCAAGCTGTGGTGAGTGGGGCAGGGCCATTGGCCTCGGACATCCTCGGCCCCTCCTGCGGTTTCCTTCGCTTCTTCATCATCTGAGGAGTTTTGGGCCGATTACTGACTACTTTCTCAATGGACTTCAGCAGGGACAGCATCTTGCACTCACGACACCGGCGCGGCTCAAGCCACAAAGCGTGCTCCGAGAAGTTTTGGGCGGTGCAGACGTCGCCTTTCAATTTCATGCTGTTGGAGGTTCTCCCAGTCGCAGTGCAACAAAAGAAGAGAAGTCTGTCTAGGGCAGCTTGGGTAGCTTGGCCTTCCCTCCATGGAACAGCTCGGCCCCCGCAGAGTCCCACAAAGCCGTGGCTCGGAGAAGCGGTTCTTTGAGGTCACCTCCTTCTTCGAAGTATGTTTTCCTCGATCGGGGAAGACAAGCAAGCCGGGCCTCCGGGATTTTCCATCTCGAGAACTCCTCTCTTTCTGCTTCCCACAGCGAGGTCGGAGTGCCTTCGACCCTTCCCCGTGGGCGAGGGGCCTCTCACCCGAAGCTGCTTGCCGGGAGACTGGGACCTCCAAAACAAGAAGTGTTGGATTTCGCATTGCCATCTCAGGATGTAGGGAATCTATCTCCGGAGCATGGGCGCCTGTCCGCGTTGCTTGGCGAGAAGTTGGCCGTAATGATGCAATGTTATTTGCGCAGCGTGCTTTCTCCTAGGTGTGACACAGGGATGGAAGATTGGAAGCGCTGGGGTCCCTATGCCGGGAGCTCGGGGAGGTTCACCCGGTGGTCGAAGGCCCCACCGGCCAGCACGAGGTCAGCGAGCGGCATTGGGGTACCTGTCGAACGAGCCCAAGATCTCGCGGAGCAAGCGCTTGGCATGTAGAGAAATGGATTGTAGAGGAACTTGGCCAAGTAGCCATCACAAGGCGAAGACTACGCTTCGCACGGCAACAGTTGGATCTATTTGCCCTTCGAGGCCAAGGTCGTAGGCTGGCCTAGGCAGCTGCTGACAGCTGCCGCTGCCCCCGCCGTCCCAGCCCCCCAAACTCTGCAGGCTGCTCACTACGTGGCCTACCGCTGGGGCGAGGCGCATGCGGCAGACTAGCAGTGGTTGCGTAGGCCGAATTCCAGTGTGGCCAGCGAGCAACTGAAGCACAACCCGAGAAACGACAAGGATGTCGGCACGGTACGGTACACGTTGTCACATACGTCGTCGTCGTCGTCGTCGTCG